TCTTTTCTCTGAACCAGCGGCAGCAGAAGAAGGCATGCAGATCCCTACAGTGTCCAGTTAGGGGCTAACCAGCCCACAAGAGAAGTTGCCTTGAGAGTTGGTACCTTAAAATATTGTGGCTCCGGCGAGTCGTGTTATCCAGATGCCAATCCAGTACCGCCAAGCCCTCGGCTTCAATGCAGTGAATGATTTAAATAATACCCATGGAAATGCAATTAGGAGTTTTTGGTGTAATGTCCTCTAAACATTACCCGTTCGGCACGGGCCAGCCCAGCACAACCGCATGGCGGCTGTGCAGAAGACGGAAGGTGAAACTCATGATAAACCAGATTGCAAATCAAATCAGTGTCCTTTCAAAAGTGAAGTGGCACAGCTGATGCCAATTACCCTTGATTTAGGAAAAAACATTCTTTCAGACTCTAATAATCCAACAAGTCGCTACTTAACACAAGGATAAATTATTTTCAATGTGATTTTTTTTATAGCTGGACAGCGTCTTTTCGGCATGATAACATATTGATTAGGTGCACCACTGCCCTCTAGTGCATGGGACCAGAACTACTTTGCTGTGTGTCATAGACCTTACGCTTCCCCAACACTGAAAATTAAATTTGGGCCAAGAAAGGCTTTTCACACGAAATGCAACTTTATTATGTTTGACATATTTTGACAAAACAGAAACTTCTTTTGTGTTTTGGAAATGTGCATTTCACTTCCATTTTTGAAAACTGAGAGCTATTGTTGCTTAAGGTATGTTTTCCATGCTGGGGAAGGAACCTGTCTTTCTCTCTCTTTTTTTACTCCATTTCTCTCTTTTCTGGTGGAAGAGAAGCCTCACTGAAGCCCCAGCATTAAAAATGAAAACTAAACACATTTTCATTTTGAACTTTCTCATTGAAAAATGAAAAAGCATTCCATGGACAAGAAATACCAGGAAGAAATGTAATTTCCTTTGGGAATTAATGCTGTGATTTTGACTGAAAAAGTAGTGGAGGGCAGGCATCCTTCAGCATGAGCACTAGAGGGCACGAGTTTCTGAATTCTCATCCCGATGATCTCTGTAAAGGTCCATGTGGCCCTGATACGCAGCATGATCCCATCACCGTGGCTGTGGATTTGTTGCTCTGCGTACATCATAGTTTCTACACATGTCTGTTGGTGATGTGGGAGGGCATCTTTGTTTTAATGAGAACTGGAGCCATCACCTGTCTCCATTCTCAGGGCTTTAAGGAATGTTGTCCAGAGCTGGTACTCATGCTGTTTATGGGAGCCCAAAACGAATTTGCAGAGCATCCTTCGCTTGGGCTTCTCCTCGTCTTCTGCAAAATCAGATTGCTTAAAAATACTAATGTTGAGCAACCATCTGTGCTGTAGAATGAATAATGGGGTGTGTTCCTGCATGTTGATGGAAAGTTGGAAACCTGACTGTGCAGAAATCACAGGCCAACAGCCCAAGGGTATCTGACCACGACTGTCTTCTGCTGGAAGGAGCAAAGCATGTCCAACAGCTCCCGGGAACTGGGTTCTTTGAACGTTAATAAAGGCATACCTGCCAGAAAATGAATTCCTCTATTCCCATAACAACCTACTTGTCAGAGGGAAGGGAATGTAGCTGGTTGCTCTACAGGAGCAGTCAAACCCCAGCTTTAGCTAGGCTTGGGATATTCATGCTCTTCTATGAGTTTGGACATCCCATTGCAGGCTGACCATTTCTTCACCATCCTTCGGCCCTGCTGGCCTGCAGCTTTACTCTTCTTAAGACAGGAATCCCACACCAGGATTAGGGCCTTGCTGCACCTGGCCACTGGCAGATACCCAAGAAGAGGCTGCTGGCCCCTGGAAGGTATAAAGTAAGTGGGGTTGGATGACAGCGAACAAACAAAGTAGAGCTGAGCGGGGTGTGCTAGTGGATAACAATGACGTGAAGAGTGTAGCAGGGAAATGGGCCTTTCTTTACTTGCGTAACCCACGCCAGGAGTGACTAGCTGGTGTTGTGGTAGCAGGAGGGATTCAAGAGGCTACAGTGGTGGTTTCACAAGCCTGGGAGCTGTTCCTGTGGATGGAAACTAGGCAGGGCAGGGATGAAGCACCGAGGACACCAAGGAAGGTAGGACAAGTCAGTGTTTAGGGCAAGCATCGTTGGCTTCTCAGATGGACCCTCGTTTCCAGGGGAGAACGTGCCATAAGCTCTTGTTCCCATCCATGTTAGAAGTATACCCCTGTGTAGATGAGGGAGTGTGGCATACAGGGGAGGACAAACTTGGTCACAGCCAAAGGGCACCAAACATGGGATTGACTTACAAGGCAGAGAGGTGATGATGATGGCTCCAGTTCTCATTAAAACAAAGATGCCCTCCCACATCACCAACAGGCATGTATAGCAACTATGATGTACACAGAGCAACAAATCCACCAGAAGTGGGCACATGTGAAGGGAACCAAGGGTGCCAAGAGGCCTGAGGACTTTTGGAGAAGTCATGTTTCCATGGCAGAGGGCACTGTCCCCATTAACTCTCTGCTAGGACGGCAGATCATACTCAACAGCTATCTGTGCAGGGAATGGGGTGGGCTGTATTGACTGCTCACAGCTGGAGAATAGGAGTCAGATGGTTGGCTGGGGAGCTGTTAAGTGCTCAACAGAATATTAAAGGGAATCAATGCTGAATGAGTGGAGCGTGCTCTTTCTCCCACGGGGACGAGACCAGCGCAGTACGCTGCCCATTGAGAGCCCTGCGGTTCCCAGGATGTCGGCAAATTGGCTGTGGAGCACCAAGTGCGGGGAGAGGCATCTCTAAGGCCAGCGTACTGCACACTGAGCATCTACCCTGTGTGCATGCATCATGCTCCCTGTGCCATCCCTCGTGAGCACTAGCTGACTGAAGTGAACTGGCTTTCAGCTGCTCCTTAGCATGTCTGTTTTCCTATCTGCTTTGCCTAGAAGCCAGCAGTCACTGTAAGGTTCATGCACAGAGCATGGGCTCCCTCCCTTCAGAGCTGCACGGGGCTAGAGCTGAGATTTCCTTCTGGAGGGGTCCTGTGGATGTGTTCTGCAGAGGAGATGCTGTAGCTTTGTGCAGGTGCTGCCCAGTGGCTGGTGAGGAGAGAGGCTGTGATATGAGAGCTCTATGTCCTGTGTCTCCCCATGTCCACACATTGATGGGGAGCCACAAGCCAATGGAGACAGTGCCAGCAGACCTGCTTGCTGCTCGGGGGACTCGGTCAGCATCGCACAGCCAGACTCTGGTTGTGCGAGAATCGGGTTTTTGCTCTGGAGCAGGGTCCAGACTGCTGGGAGGCAGTGGGCAACCCTGGCTCTTGCATAGGAAACTGGGAAAGGCTTCAGAAGTAAAAGGCAAAGCAGACTGAGGGCTTTCCCTGTATGAGGTTGATGCCATCCAGAGATCTGACATCAGATACCTCTCTGCCTCCAGCCAGGGTCTGCCCACAGTGCTCCTTGTTGCCTGCAATGCAGCGCCATGAGCAGACGGCTGATACCTGTGCTCATGGGAGCAAGCACACTGAACAACGCTCCAGGTTTGCAAACCGCCCACCGTACAGGTGCCTGCTGAGGGATGCCCACTGCTGGCCAGGGTAATGCTCAGATAAGATACCGCCTGCTTCCATCTCACCTGCTCTTGCATTGAATCAGACTAAGCCAGCGTGGCAGCTCCATGACCTGCACTCCTGACACCTCAGAGAGGGGATAACCATGCAGGAGGAGCAAGCTCTGCAGGAGAGCAGGAGACCAGAGGCCTGAACTGGAAGTGGGGGCAGTCCCAGTCAGGGTGGGATGGGAGGGTCTGGGTAACTTATGCCGTGGTAGTGAGAGTGACACATGCAGACCAAGCAATCAGTGGCATTGCAGCTGTTTTCCCAATAGTGACTAGGCCTTCCAGTGAGGGGGTGGCCTTGGAGTCCTGGCTGAGCCCTCAGCCTGCAAGAGAAACAGGCTACTGGTCAGAAAACAGGACTGGGAGCCAGCTCTTAAGCTCTCGGATGGTCTCCATCACTGGTTCCTACGTCAGACAAATGACACGATCCTTTTAGTTACTGCTTCCCTCCCGTTGAATGGGCCCACGCATCCAAGGAGGGCTGTGAGGCTTCATTAATGACTGCAAAGGCTGTGAAATGGAAAGGGCTAGTGGGTGTCACGAGCTAGTGACTCACTGCCCTGCCACTCCTGGAATTCTTCCTTCTCTGCAAGGCTGGGAGCAGTAGGGGCGAGACTGGCCTTTCTACCCCTGGCCAGGCCCTGCTATGCAGGAGGTTGCTGTCCAGGGCTTCCGTGGGTAGCAACACAGCATTAAGATGCAGAGAGGTGAAAGCTGGATATGGCTGTTGGCAGCTCACAGAGGCTGCTGGGCTGCCTGGGGCATACTTACTGCAGGGAGTGTGGGGATAGCACAGACAGCGGTGGGGCACCCCATGAGCTGGATGTGCACATAAGCATGCACCAGAGCTTGTGCCTGGGGGTGGAGGGGCTCAGATGCAGATGTCCTACATCACTGTCTGGCTGATGGAACCAGGGACTTTCTGGGGTGCTCTGGGTGGCGGGACATGAAGGAAGGCAGAGTCCCAGACACCCAGGGTTGCTCTCTTCCAGAGAATGGATGCAACTGGCTGCCCCAATGGCACCTCCTCCTGAGGAAGGCATGTTGGCATGAAGGCAGCTCTCCATGGAGCAGTTCTTCCCGGTGCTTCTCCCTGCCTAGGCTCCTTTGCTTTACCTTGCAGACTTCCTTCCAAATGGGTCCCTGAAGCTCCAGCCTGCAGCTCCTGTGACATCTGGTGTGAGCATCCCCCGGAGCAACCTCCAGCCCGTGGAGCTGTGGCACCGCCAAACCTGCTTCTGCAATGGGTGGGTTGTAAGCGCTGGTAAGACCTGCGAGCCATGTTGCCCTTGCTGCTCTCTCTCTCTGTCCTTGTTCCTTCCTGCCCATTTATTTCTGTTCTCCATGTGCTCTGCTGTTCTGTCTCTGGGGTTCTCGCTGTCAGGTAATGAGGAGCTGTGGGTCCAGTCAGTCTTGGAGATGCCGAAGAGACGAGACATCCTGGCTATCGTGCTGATAGTTCTGCCCTGGACGCTGCTAATCACCGTCTGGCACCAGAGCACCATTGCTCCACTGCTTGCAGTGCACAAGGGTGAGAGAAACCACCTGGCCTATGCCAGCTCGGTGCACCCCTGCCCATGTCTCATTCCATCCCTCCCATGACAACCATGCTCATCTCAACTTACGGTCCCTGTTCTTGCAGCAGTCTCTATTTCTAGGAGGGTCTTGCTAAGGCTTCACGTCCCATGTCTTGGGAGCTACATAGCTCCCCAGTCTAGTGGACAGAACCCATAGCATGAGCATTGAAGGGAAATGCAACCAGTGACTTTGTGATCCTCACTTGTCCTGAAGGAAAGCAAAAAAACAACCCTTTTCCTGGTCCTGGCAGGGCCGTGTGTAGAAGTTAAATGACAGACGCACTGACACATACAGAAGCACCCCTCATGGGCAGACCAGATAGCCCCCTCCGAGAGAGACTGGGCAAAGAGAATTCTTCCAGCAAGCCCTGAAGGTTGGTGAACTCCATCTCTGTTGGACCTGAAGGAGCAGGGCAGACAGCATGTACCAGATAAGTTAGTGTCAGGAGAAAGGCAGCCTCTACATTACCCAGCACCCAAGGCAAAAGCAGAGCTGTGGCCTGCAGCAACCAAGATGAGATGCAAGTAAGTGGTTCTGGGACACTGTGGATGGAGGGGCCCTTGGTGGTAGACTTCGGCTTGGTTTTCAGAGTGGCAGCCATACCAAGGAACACAAGTGCTGCCAGGTGCTGGAAGAGCCCAGCTGGCCCATGCCCTTTGCCAACCTGTTCCATGGGGAAGGGACCTCCTGGTGTCCACTGTGGAGAGGAACTGAAGGAGAAGGCTTAGCTCAGGTTCCCTTGCTTCAAAATCTCTCTCCTTTGCCTTGTGATGTTCACTGTTGTCCCTGTGCCCTTTCCTCCATCTCTTCAGTGTGGCTTTGCATTACTCCTCACCTGGAGTCTGATGCTCTAAGAGGAGAATGCTCCCCATGACAAAAGGTGGCAAGGTCCAGGCGGGTGAAAGCTTGCTCACAAACACGGAAGAGTCCAGTACAGCTAAGTTGGGGTGGGTGGGGAAAATGCTTGGCTCCACACCCAGACTTGAAAAGCTAATGTGATGAGCCATGGTGATGCTGCTAAAGGGAAATAGCATCCATCTGCCCCATCACTCCAGCCTCGGCCTAATGCTCTGAAAAGTAGGGGCCATTTTTGTGAATGACCAGCAACCTACAACTTGGAAGAAGAGCTTCTGGAAGTCCTGGCTCAGCGCTGGCACCAGGCTCTGAGCTTGGCTGGCAGGTTTCACCATTGGAAAATGAGGTTGAAAGCAATGACCTGCCTGCGAGGGTGCAGGGTTAAGTCCTTTAGCACTTGACAGGCATTTCTGAACTGCTTGGCTGGAAGGTGCAGAAGACGGAGTATTGACCAGTGTGGTATGGAAGTCCTTGTGGGGTTTAAAGCTATATGATCTGACCCACCAGCAGTTCCTGACAGTCCTGTGTGTCCTGGCCAAGCTCCATTTGAATGCACCAGATGCAGGGTGCAGTTAGTCCAGTCCATCTCCCAGGTTATCTGGGGTGCGAATTGTTTCCAGGGTTACACCTTTGCAAACACCCAACAAAGGACTGATCCTGATCTGTGCTGAGGAAGATCAGCACTGTGGAGCACTGGGCCTTACACCAAGTGTGCTGTTCACCCCAACATCCAGATTAATGGCTGATGAAGAATCACATAAAGTATGAACATGGGGAATGCTCTCCTGGGTCCTTGGCTCCTGCAGTCTTCCTCCTCTGTTGCATCCAGTATCAGCCACTGCTGGAAAATATAACAATTCTGTATCAGACCGTCATAAGATGCTTACAGGGTAACAGTTGTCTAAAGTCCTGGAGCAGGAAAGCTGGTCTCTCAGTAATTTTTATCAGGGTGTAGTTGTAGCTTGTTACCGACTACAGTAGCAGGAGTTGAGGGGCCTGGCAGCTACAGCCGCATGGAGGTTTACCTTGTGTTGGCCACTGTAGCATGACTCCTGGTGCACGATTCTGTGTCCCCATCGTTTGTGCTCACCGCGTGGTTTGCAATGGATATCATGCTGTCACTTGTACCTGCACAGTCCCACAGACATCCTGCCCAGATCCAGCCAACACTGTTCTCAACTGGATGGACGCTCACATAGTGAGCATGGGGTCATCGGGCTCATAGTTCGGTATCTCATCTCAGTGCCTGAATTTAAAAGCATATGATCGACGAGCGTGCTGGCCAGATCCCTCAGGGGGTAACTCCAACCTGCCTATCCAGGATTCTCTGCAGCTTCGCTAGCTCCAGTGTCCCCCATTCCTGCCCTGAGCTATTGCTGTGCACTGGTGACCAGCTGCTGAGCCCCTTGCGGTGGGAGAAGCAGTTCTGTAGGGCACCAAGTACAAAGTGTCGTGGGATCCTTTGGGGTGGCAGGTCCTGTATCAATGTCAGCATTTATTACTCTCGGCTAAGCTGTCATGCTCAGCCGTGCATTCCCTGGGTCCACGCAGCTCCTTGTTCTGAGCAGTTAGCTGGCGTCTCGGCCTGGAGCTGTCAGTGCTTTGCCGATGTAGCTATTTTAGCAGCTGGAATCTCTTTCTCATGAGACTCATCCCTGCTTCCTGCAACAAAAGTCTCTTTCCCAGCTTGTCTCCTTTGCTGTCAGATCAAAAGGGTGACCTTCCCTGGTGCCCAGCTACCTGTTGGCTGAGCGGAGCGGGTGCTGGAGAGGATGCTGTTGCAGGGCTAACCGGGCGCTTTCTTTCTTTCAGATGATGGTGACTCCCGGCGTGATTTCGCCCCAGGCTCGGACGCTAAGGAATACTGCCTGTCCGACCGCGACATTGTGGAGGTGGTGAGGACAGAGTACGTTTACACCCGCCCTCCCCCCTGGTCAGACACCCTTCCCACCATCCACGTCATCACCCCCACCTACAGCCGGCCGGTGCAGAAAGCAGAGCTGACGCGCCTGGCCAACACCCTCCTGCACGTGCCCAACCTGCACTGGATCCTAGTGGAGGACTCTCAGCGCCGGACCCCCCTCATCACTCGGCTGCTACGGGACACGGGGCTGAACTACACCCACCTCAACGTGGAGACACCCCGCAACTACAAGCTGCGGGGTGACATGAGGGATCCCCGCATCCCTCGTGGGACCATGCAGAGGAACCTGGCCCTGCGGTGGTTGCGAGAGACCTTTAACAAAAACAACAGCCAGCCGGGGATTGTGTACTTTGCTGATGATGACAACACCTACAGCCTGGAGCTCTTTGAGGAGGTAAGGCACAGGCGGGGCCTGCCCGGCTCCTGGGAGCTTGCAGGCCTTTGTGCGGGTCCCCACGGCCATGCCCAGTGGTGTCTGTCACACCATTTATGCTTCTGGTGCAAAGCTACAAGGCAGGAGACGACTGCAACACCGCGCCAGCTGGCAGGTAACACTGTGAGGCTCCCTCGTGATCCCTAGACCTGTCTTTTATACTCAGCTTAAGTGGAAACAAAATGCAGCTAGTTCTCACTGCAGTGCAGGGGGGGAGTGGTATGGTGTAACTGAGCCCCTACACGGTACAACGTACCTGGGCTTGGGCTCCATTAGGGTTTTACAGCTAGGCTGCATCTTGCTATAAGCATCTGCATCTAGCAAGGAAGCCAGGCCCGGTGCTGCAGGGAGGAATGGTGGATGGCTCTGCTTGCCTCCTGAGTGGAGGGTTTCCGCCTTGAGTTTCAGTCGGATGCAGCACAGAATACAAAAGCTGTGAAGAAGTCACGGGGGTGATCTCGCGGCTGTGCTCTCAGGAAGCCCCTGCCCGGGCTCGCTGTGCCTGCACTTTAGAAAGCCATGGAAACACAAGCGTCTTCCTTAATTCCTCTTGCTTTGGAAATGCATCCACTCTGCCAGTGTGACGGGTCTCCCTGGGTTACGGCGTGGATGTGCAGAACGGGGCAGGGTAGCTGCATGTCGCTGGGTTGGGAAACCCTTTGCTGGTGTTCAACTCACAGAGCAGCGCAGGGCAGAAGGAGCCCGCGTGGGTGAAGGGCAGCTGTGCAGAAAACAGCTTCAGCAAGCACATGAAGAGTGCTGAATGCACCAGTGAGATGGAGTTTTTTTCTTTTATTACTATATTTCATGTTCCAGGTCGAATCAGCCAAATCAGTTCCCAGTCACAACGATTGAGCAGAACTCAATCGTTCCAAAAACCATATGGACTGAGCAGGCAGAACTCAATCGTTCCAAACACCACGTGTGGTGCTACAACCGGCGAGCAGCCTCCATCCCAGGCTCTCACCCTGGGACTTCAGATACTCTCAGATCCATTGGCAGGCATCCTACGTGCAGGCCCAAGCCCAGAGGTCTTGAGATTGGGATGCCCCCACTTGACCTTAGCCCACAAGAGGCCAAGAAGCAGGAGGCCATCACAAGCTTAAGTTAGGGCAACCACAGCGAGATGGATTTTTTTTTCAGGAAAATTTTTCATGTTCCAAGTCAAGTCAGCCAAATCAATTCCAAATCCACGTAAATAATTCAAAAACCATATGTGGCCCTGCTACCAGCAAGTATCCTCCCCCGCAGCTTAGGGCTTCAGATACTTCCTAATCCTTTGGTGGACATCCTATGTGCAGGCCCAAGCCCAGAGGCTTGGGGTTTGGATGCCCCCAAATTTCACTTGCTATCAGCCTTATGGCCACAGGAGCAAGCTAGGGAGGAGTCTCTGATTTCCATGAAGTCGGCGTGTAGTCGAGATCCTCCCACTGGAAGCTGGCCAGTGGGAAGCTAACTATGAGGCTCTCATAGGGAGTCCTGTCCGCAAGCAGACAAGGGTGTCGCCTCCACCACACAAAGCCCTTTGTAAGGCACCTCCCTGGTCAGGGTACTGACCCCAGCCACGTTTGTGGTCTTTCCCCTGCCCTGGGAAAACCACCTTCATGGTCATGGTATTTCCCCTACCAGGTGGATACACAGGAGGGACTCCAAGCTGCTGGGGCCTCCCAGAACGCTCCTAAGGCTGTGCTGGGGCTCATCTGCATAGGGTGGCTGCTGCACAGCGAGCTAGGTGTGGATGTACAGTGAGCCCACTGCTCCGAGTTAACTCCCCGCGGCGCTCTTCCTGCCTGTGCGCACTGCGCACAAGGTGTCCTGCTTCACGGGAAGGGCTGCATGCTGTGAAGCTGTTGCAGAGGGCAAGTCACAGGCTCACCAGGCTGGGTAGTGCCCCCTGACACATGGCACTGCTCCACGTGGGCTCTGTCCTGAGCCACCCAGCAGCCCTCGCTGGCACCGTGCACTCTCTGCTGTGCTGCCCTGGGCAAAGCAGCACAGCGCACAGGAAGGTGCAGCTGCCCAGCACAGTCAGTTTGCTGTTTGGGTGCCTTGCAAGGGTCCGTGGGGGGGACTAGCATGGAGATTACTGCTGACAAGCTACAAGCACCCACCCCTGCAAGCCAGGGAGACTCCTCCCCTGAGTAAAGCTGGCGAGAGGAGATTGTGGGGAAAGCACAGGATGGGGAGACAAGAGACCTGCTTAGGCAGAAGATATCAGAGGTAGCTGATGACCACTTGGCTTGAATCCCCCCCTCATATCAGCAGTCCTTCCTACCTGGCTGTGCAGGACTGCTTTGTGCTGCTGGGTTGGCAAGGCAGGAGGATGTATCACTTGCTTTTCTGCAGCAGATTCCTGGGGTCAGGGGTGGGGGAGGAATCCCCTTACCTGTCCCACATCACACTCCCTCTTGGCTTTTTGTTAGTCCATGTAGCATCCTACCTTAGGTGTTGCCAGACATCTCCCCTCCCTTGAAGCTTGGTTGCTTCTGCCTCTGTCTCTAGTATTTTATTTGTATCTGTCAGGATCCTGGTGCAACGCAGACAGTGCCCTTCCAGCCTTCTCTCTGAGCATGGCATGGGCACTGTGCCTCAGGATGTCTTGCTCAGAGGCAGGCTGTGCAGGTGGCTCCTCAGGCACGTGGCTGAGCAGCCTGCATTTGTCAGTGCTCCTGTGTCGGCTCTGAGGATGAGAGATCTCTGCCGTTGCCCTCGCAATGGGCCGTGAGGCACTTGCCTCCAACGCCACCTTTCTTGAAGCATCTGGAGGCAAATGGGCTCCCAGGGTGTTTTGGCTCAGCTGGGAGATGCAACCTCAGCCCAGGTGTGCTGTCTCCAAAGTGAAGGCACGGTGAATGCATATGAGTCCTTTCAGCGCTTTGTGTCCCAGGCAGAGTCAGCAACATTGCTGAGACAGGACTCAACCTGCACACACACACAAGACAGGACTGAGTGTAGCTGTGGTTGAGGCTCTTTATTCCCATGTATCTCAGTTTCCCCACCTGCGAAATGGGGATGATGCCTGTGGGGCCTCATGAGACTGTCACCTGCCGGCATTGGCCAAGGATTTTGAGATCCTCTGGTCCAATCTTGGTGCAAGGGTGAACTACTAGCTGCTAAGTCGCAGTGATCAGTGTAAAGCCTCCCAGAGGTGGCTCCACCATGAGCTTTCCAGCCTCTGTCCTTCTCTGTGTGTAAGCAGTGGCCATCCTGCCTTCAAACCCTGGTTCCCCAGGGCTGCAGGAGCCCCTCAGGCATTGCAGCTGCTTCTGAGGCCAGTGAAGTCCACCTTGTACCCGGTTTCTGTCTTAGGTAGAGAGATCCGTCTCAGGCTTAGTAGGAATGCTCTCCCCATTGCAGTACATGGCAGAGATGAGCCATTCTCTGCTGCTTTCCACTGGCCTGTAACGAGTCCCTTTCTGCTTGGCGCTGTTCCTGCTATCGGAGGGGATGCAGTTAAGCCTGGGATTGCAGTGAAGTGTGTGGCAGAGAAGAGTCCCTGTGAGGCAAACACGCTGGCACATTTCCCGCTCGGATGCTGATCTTCACTTTTTCTGACATTTCTCACCTGTCACCCTTTCCACGTGGAAGGGAAAAGGTCAGAGCAGGCACCGTGACCCTTTCGTGTCTCTCACTTTGGGTGTTCAGACCGCCTCGGCCATGACGGCAGTATGATGGCTTGGGCAGGGAAATGGCAATACTGCACAGTTCAGAGAACTGGCTTGGGGAAGAGAATGGGCAATTAAGGGCTGAAGCAAGGAAGGAGCTCTCAACCAGGTCTGTGTGGAGGGTTTTTGACTCTCCCGTCGAATTTTAACAGAGAAAGTCTCCCTGTCTGGCCAAGAGGACTCATCCCTGAAGGTAGGACGCTATTCATTAGCTCAGGAGTAGGCCTTCCCTCCCTCCATTGTGTCTGGGGTTCAGCATCTCCATCCTCCCCAGCACTGCTGCTTTGAAGCTGCCCCAGGAAGCCCAGTCCTGATGCACTGCAAGTGGGTAGGAATAAGGTGGTGGGAAACGGGGCACATCAAGGCAAGAGGAAGCAAGCACCTTCCTTTATCCTCATCAGCGAAGCACGTGTCCAGGCTCGTTGTAAAAGCCCAGGCAATGGGGACTCTGCTGTGTTCCTCGGACACTGGAAACACTCAAAGTAACTTTAAGAAATGTCTCTTCATAGTTGGTATGAAAACCAGAACTTCATTTGGGATGCTGTGTGTCTAGGGTTTAGAGGAACCTGCTTGGAGCCCAGACTCCTGGGCTCTGTTCTTCCCTATGCCGCAGACAGGGTGGTGGAAGGCAGAGCATGTCTGTCTGAGGACGTTGCATACCAGCAGAGCTCTCCTGGTGAGTGGCAAGGGGTCATTCTTGCCATTTTGCACCTTGGGAAACTGAGGCACAGAGCGGTGCCGTGACTTGCCTTCATTCACTCAGGGAGCCTGTGACTGAACCAGGAGTTAAATCCAGTGCTAACCCAGAGGGCTGTTCTTCCTCCCTCCACATCTGCTTCAGTTCTGCCTCTTTGTCACATTGAATGCTTAGAACGGGCTTCAGTAACTTGACCTGAGCGGTGTCAGCACTTTGCTCCCCCTTCTGCCTCTTTGACAAGCCCTTCCCCACCCTTAGCATCCAGAAGCCACCAAACAGCTGTGCACATGGGTGCAGGTTTCCCCACATTGTTTATCAGGGAGGATTCATTGCCCAGTTCCTGCAAGCCCTTGCAGCAGGAGACAGGACACAGTGATGCCCTTCCTCTCCATGCCCCTATCGGCCAGCGATGCCCTGTGGCACACCAGTCCCTGCAGCCAGCAGTAGACAGGGGGTATAGGACAGGATGGGACGGCAGGTATCGCATCTAGCCATCTATAGGCACAAGACCAATCCAAAGCAAAGGTTTCCATTTCAGTACAGTAGCTTGACTTGTGCCCTCTCGACAGCTAAGGTGCCCAGTGGATCTCTGGAGGGCACACTGCATTATGGCTCCTCGGCTACCTCACATGGCTTTCCTCTCCTCCCCTTGGAGGTAACAGGGAGGCAACGGCATGTGCTTCAGGCAGCGTGTACCGTTGTCCCCTGTGGCTGGCGGGCTGACGTTAGCACGTGTGTAATGCAAAAGGACAGGTGCCTTCACCTCTCCAGGTCTCCCTCGCTGTAATTAGTGGTGATGAGAGTCCCTCTGGGAGAGACTTGATCTGGGTTGTAAGCAGAAGATGCAGTGCAGAGCGCATGCTCCTGCAGCAGAGCCGGCAGGGCACAGGGGAGGGAGCTGCCACGTGGAGTCCTGTTTGCTGGGAGCTCATAGGGTAGCTGGACTGCCCCTCTCCAGAGAGCCACGCCGTGGTCCCTCACTCCAAACAGATCCAGTGCTGGCCCATTTTCCATGGATGGTGACTCACAAAACAGAGACAACTGCCAGTGTCATTTGAGGATGATTATCTTGTGGGATTTTTTAGCTTTCTGAAATGTTTTCTGTCTTCCCAGCTGTGCTTTTGACTCCTCATGTGCAGCCTGCCTCTCTGATCTGTGCCTCAGTTTCCCTGTTTCTGGTGATGAGGGAGTCCCACTTTTCTGTCTGGAGCTGTGCAGAGCAAGTCCTCCTTGGTGCTCACCATCCCCTTTTCTCTCCTTGCCTCCAGATGCGCACGACCAGGAAGGTGTCAGTGTGGCCGGTGGCCTTTGTGGGTGGCTTGCGCTATGAGTCGCCCAAGGTGAACGCAGCAGGGAAGGTGTATGGCTGGAAGACCGTGTTCGACCCCCATCGCCCCTTCGCCATCGACATGGCGGGCTTTGCTGTGAACCTCAGGCTGATCCTTCAGCGATCTCAGGCTTACTTCAAACTGCGAGGAGTGAAGGGGGGCTACCAAGAGAGCAGCCTTCTCCGGGAGCTAGTGACTTTGAATGACCTTGAGCCGAAAGCTGCCAATTGCACTAAGGTACGGTCCCTTCCTTCTCATGCAGGGAGTGTGTGGGCCCACTCTCCAGCACTCATTTTGTGGTATATTGTGAGATCCAACATCCTAGAGAAACCATGGGTTGGAGGGATGCAGGAAAGGTCTTCTCTTGCCTTTCTTAGCCAATTATCCAGATATGGGCAAGCATGAGTTTCCTGTTGTCCTGCGGGAGGTGCTGCTGCAGACATTTGGTCAACGCAGCAGGGACAACGGAAAGGTCAAAAGGGGATTGAGTACTGCAAATGATCCTTCCCTGCCATGACCAGAAAGTCTTTGCAATGGGAGCTTTTTCAGGGCTTCAATCTCCTTTCAGTGGAGAGCTGCAAATCAATCTGCCGCAGAAAGCGAAGGGCCAATAGAGGCTGGGATTAGCATTGGAAATGAGAACTTTGCAATGAAAGGAAGCGGCCCCAGACCTGCGAGCCCAGAGCTTTGACTGCATGGGGGATTATGAAATATTTGAATAAAATCATTGGCCTTTGAATTCCCTCTGAGTGGACCGTGTGCCTCCAGAAATGCAAGGACATCTGAGCCTAGCTGGCTCTTGTGCAAGGGGCCCTGCATAAGCACAGCAGCAGAGGTTGGGAGGAGGCACTTCAATACCTCCTGTGGACAGTTTCTCACTTGCCTATGATTAGGGGTGTCCAGTCCTGGAAAGAATGAGGCAACCGGTTTCCAAAGGGGGTTGAATCTAAGGTCTTGGGTGCTGTTTCGGATCTAGCCCCAGAGGCCCAGCCAGCAGGGATTGAAAGTGATTGCTTGAGGTTTGAAACTCCTCCTCCTTTGCTGGGGAAGGTGTTGCTGGTGATAGCACCGTCACATCTGAAGCAGAGGAGGGAAGGGGATGGATTATGCCAGCACCTATGCCTGAAAACTGGTGCTCCTGCCAGGTTTTCTTCTCCTAGCCCGTTGCAAAATGTGCTATTCTTTGGGTTTTTGGCTGTAGCCGTGTTGGCCTAAGGACATAGGCAGGCAAGGTTCTTTGAGTAGATGTGATATCTTTTATTAGACCAACTGAGTAATTGGAAAAATGTTCTTTTTTCCAGCTACTCAGTTGGTCTAATAAAAAATATCACATCTACCCAAAGAACCGTGCTATTCCTTTGGCTTTAATGTTGCTTGCGTATAAAGTCCAGTGACAGAGACAGGATCCAGGCCAGGACTGGGCATGGGGGAACATAGGACAAGAAGGCAGCGCAGGGCCTAGGCCTTTGTGTCTCAATGGCTGGGAGTGAAGCACAGACTTGATCAGGAGCATAGCACCTGCCTGCATCCCTCCCCATCTCTGCTGCCTGCTGCTGCTCTCGCCTAACAGGTACATCTAGAGGACAGCTATTAAATATTTCCACTGTGCTGCGGGATGTGAGAGATGAGATGGCGGGGGCTGTGAATGGGGGAGCCGGCCTGTTGTGTGCAACGCACTCCAGAGTGAACCTCCCCTGGGTAAATGCACAGAGGGAAGCAGGAGGGGGAATCCAGCACTCCTCTGGAGAGCTGCTGTGAGCTTGCAGCCGGTCCAGCAGCAGCCCCCCAGCCTCTTGCCCTAGCTGCAGCCCTGCTCATAGGAGGTGGCTGTCAGAATAAGGCCTTGTGCTGGGAGGTTTGGGTGGGTGGACGGGGAGGATGCTACTGGCAAAGCACATGGTCAGGGCTTTGTGTCCAGGCACCTGGAGACTTTCTAGTTGCTGGCATCCACCTGGATGTGCAAGCTTTGCTCCTAGGCAGGTGCTGTTGGCCCAGAGCCGAAGAGCCAGAAGCAGTGTCCAGCCAGGGTGAGAAGTAGGCTTAGATCTCCTGTGAGATCGCAGCAGTGGAGATCTCACAGGAGACCCTACTGTGAACGGGACACAGCCTCCAAGTACAGCTGTATGCCATGGGCTTTGATTGCCTCCACAGCCTCTGCCCAGCGTGGACCAGAGTCCAGATCCAGCAGCATCAGCTTGTGGTCTGGCAGGCCTCCACAGCAGTGCTGGGGGTGGTTGTGCTGGGCTGGCACCTAGTCTTTTGACCTCATTACTGGCATTTGTTCTCCCAAGGGGGGCTGTACTGACTGTGAGGGTTCAGCCTTTGCTCTGCAACTGCCAGCCTGTCTGTAAAAGAGGCATTCATGCATTAACGATTGTGATGTGTTCGTTGACAAGGGTTAATGGGGCCCAGGTCAGGACTTTAGTTGTGTACAGATGCCCTTAGCCAGAGATGTCCTTGGCACAGATGCCCCAGAGATTTACTTTATCAGTACCACAAGTGGGCACACCTGCAGCAAGCATAGCTCCGGGGGGAGGGCAGGGGAAAGGAGCCCCCACATCATGCCAGGAGCTGCACAAGCTGAAGGGGTTGGAGGGAAGGAGACAAGCGTGTCCTCAGTGAAGATGGAAAATATGATGGGAGGGGTGAGGTGGGATCCTGTGTGCATAAACCATGTGGGTAACCATTCGCCAGGCTCATGTAGTTGAGCTAACTCAGTTGTGGCTGCAGTTATAGTCTCTCTTTCTCTCCCTGCCCTGTCTGGGCCACGTTTGGGTCTGGAATGGAGGGTAGGATAATATCTAAGGGATCCAGGTGGGAACTGCTGCTGAGAGGACCAGAGAGAGGCCAAGCATGAGTGGAGGGCACTGCCATAGGCAGGCTCAGTTGCCATCACCAGGTCACTCAGCGGAGTAGGAGGAGGAAAGCAAGCCCTCTGCCCTGGCCTCCCAACACCTGCTGCAACCACTATTGGACTTGAACTAGCTCCAAGTTGGGGAAAAAAGTCCCAAATAAGTCCCTCCAGAAACAGGGTAGAGACTGAGAGCCTGCAGCCTCCCGAGGGATATTTCTAGCTGTTGAAGAGACTAGAATTAGTGGTTTCCTGTCGTCACAGGTCTGAAGCAGCTCTAGTTTACTGCTGCCAGCTGCAGCTGGCAGGGAGGCAGGTCCATCCTTGTTTTCAGGAGGGCTGAGTGCCCTGCATCAAGTGGCACCTTTGCCTGTCTGCACTCAGGCTTCCTACTGGTGCAGTGTGACATGGTGCCTGGGCACCGAGAGCTGAGCTGGTTGGGTGATGCCCACTGAAGGCAAAGCCCTGAAATAGTCTGAAACATTCTCCCCCCCTCCCCTGCCCCTCCTTCTTTCTGGGCCACACCAGCTTTGTCTGCAGCATCAATCCTGGGGACATTTGAGCTAATCCAAGTGCTGCTGGCTGGAGCAAAGCATATGCCTTCAGGTCACTGTAGCCACGTGCACAACCTGCACTATGAGCAGCATTGGCCAGGCTCGGCCTAGTTCCTTTCATTGCTTTGGGCAGGGGCATGGGGAATCCCCCATGCAATGTCCCTTCCCCTGTGAAATATCCTTTGGGTTCAGCTGCGAGTCTGGGCACTGCCTGCGATGAGTTCCCGTTTTGTACCGTTTGCAGTGGCTCCAGCGCTTGGAACTGGGCACACCACTGCCGGCTCAGGACTGGGGAAAGGTTCCTCTGCTCTTAGAGACAAGCTTGGATGCAGGCTCCTGCTTACACAAGCAGTCTATCCCAGCTGCCAGACTTGCCCTGGACCACATGCAGACATCTAATGCAGTGCGGCCAAGGATCTAGATGCCAGCAGAGCATCTGCTTCAAAAGACCTAATGCTTTCAAATGCATGATGATCTCAGTTCTTGTTAGGGGGCAGGAGGGTCCCTGGAGCCTGCCTTCCTCTGCCTTGCACTTGATGTCATCACCCTTGTGCAGTGGGTGGAAAAACGGCACCACATCATTCTGCCTGTGCTGCAGCGCTCAGGGCAGTCTCCACTTGCACTGCAGTCATGCAGGGGCAAAGGGCAGAGCAGGCCCCTGGGGTTATTACTTCCCCCTGTGCCCTCCTGCAGCTTGGCTCCAGCTGTCATTCCTGCCTACAAAACAGCAGAGAAAAAAAACTGCTCTGGAGAAGGAACATGCAGGAGCAGAGCAGGAAGGAGATAGGTAACCTCCTTGCTGCTTCATTCTCCACTGCTTGTGATTCTTAATATCAACGCTCTGGTCTGGCTTCGGACGGGCAAGGAGAAGGAGATGCAGCTGTAAGGAAACGGGTGTCACAGTAGCAGAGATTGCAAAGGTGGATCCCGACTGAGACCTGTAGCAAAGCCTTGCTCAAAAGGCTCCTTGCACTGGATGTTGATAGGGACAAATTGTTAGTAGTTCGAAAGATGTCTAAGTAATTGTTACCCAGGGTCAAGTCTCAAAGCCTACTGAGCCTCCGCACTATTTCAAGCTGTATTTATGTGGGAACCTAGCCTCCTTTGACACATAAAAAGGGAATGCACTGCTCTGAAAATGAGCTGGCTGGCCGAGGCAGTCAAGCTGCACCTCGCTGTTGCTCTGGCCTAGATGACAGCCTGACTACCATGCTGCGTAGCGTGGAATAAAGAGCTCGGGAGATCAGTTGTACCACGTTCCTTCCAGCTGGTGGAGGTCAGCAGCTACATTAATGTTACAGGGAGGGATTTGCTTCCTGCCGCAAGTGCAGCGACTACTTAAATAGAAGCTGAATTTGGCCTACGGGCTTAACCAGAGGGTGGTGAGGGACGGAGGGCTGCTATTTAACCACAGACAAGAGGACAGGGCCAAGTTCAGCCTCCAGCGCAGAACACGCTCTCATTACCAGCAAGGAAAAACAAGCCAGCGGCAGAGCATATGCGATGTATCATGGATGCTTGGGTTAAAGGCACAGGGCATTGGCATTGCAGCTAGAGGGGAGCCCTTTGCAGGTAAGCAGCCGTACAGTGCACAGGTGATGGAGGGCAGGAAGCTGGACCTCTGAAGGGGTGTAACTGCTGCCACCAGTGCGGGAGCTGGGAAAACAGCAATAAGGAACGTGTAATCAAGTCTGGGGTGCAGGGAACGAAGCCAGCTTCCAGCACTGCCCCCTGGGCCTGTCGTTGGGGCAGGTAGGACACCTCAGACACTTTTTCATTGCTTTTTCAAGACCCACCCTCATTTTATACTATTGCAGCTAAAGCACCAGGTGCTTCTCTGTGGTCCCTGCCCATAAAAACCTCAATGCACTCAGCACTGGGAGGACAAGGGTATGCACTGCATTTCTGGCCTGCTGAAAGATCTGGGAATGGGGAGGGGGAGCTGTGCTCTTCCTAGACAGCCTGTTTTCAAAGGACAGAAAGGCAGCAGCAGCAATTGGTGGCATCTCTAAGGGATGTTGGCATGCTGTGATGTTGGACGACTGGGTTGCTGTGCGGCGCATGGGGCTCACTAGCATGCAGTTTAACCCAGGAGGCTCTCAACTCTCAGGGGAACTTGATTTTTCAGCTTTGCAACTACGCACACATCTCAGAGCAGGAGGTCCCGGACTGAGACCGTGTCAGATGCAGGGAAGGGAGACAACAGGTGCTAAAAAGTCCTAAAAAAATAATTGCCCAACTAGCCTCCTCAGGGGACACCTTGAAAGAAAAAGAGCAATGAATGGCAGGCTACAACTATTAGGCTGAGAAAAGCTCCCAATGAGACCAGAGCAGCCACACTTGCCTGTTCCAGGATTGACTCTCTCTGAACATCAAACCTAGGGTCCTTTTAGCCTGTGTAGATGCTGGTGGTCGAAGCAGCTGTCATCCAGTGGCTTTATTTCCTAACAGTCACCATAGGGAGGGTAATAGAGAAACAAAAAAGTGCTTTCCCATTATCAGCCCTTTCTGGTATACTGGAAGTATACTGGATGCTGTGGTGGCTTGATCCTCAGTCTGCCACCAGCAAAACACATTGCATCTCCCCACACACTCACACAAGTTTGATTGCCTGGTGGGGATGGAACGGCCCCCAAATCAGTGCAAAGGTTGATGAACCTCTAGAAGTTGGTAAGTCCATAGAAGGAGCAGGTTAATGTGCTGAGACGGTGCACTGTAAAACGGGTAATTTCTGTGCACAGAGCATTTCAGCTGTCGCTGAGCCTGGCCAAATGAAGTTTTATACAAACCTGCCTAAGGCTGTGAATGCACCATTAGGCTCCAGGGCATGTGGTTAAATCACACTATTGGTTTAACGTGCAATAGTATTTGTTAGCGCAATGAGCAAATGCAGCTAATGACTTCTGCTGGTTTGGTTCAGATCCTTGTCTGGCACACAAGGACGGAAAAGCCCGTGCTGGTGAACGAGGGGAAGAAAGGCTTCACAGACCCCAACGTGGAAATCTGACCTTGCACAGATGAGCGGAGACCAACAGGTACAGCTCCCCATGCCAAAGCTCCCTAGGAAGACATTAGAGCATTGAGCAAAAAGAAAAATAACCCTGCAGAAATTTCCCAGTGAAAGAGAGTTTTCTTTTTCTGAAAGGGGAAGGGAAAAGCAACATTCGGGAGATGAGAAAGTCATGGATGAGGGAGACATCAAAGAGAAGGAAGGTGCTTAGGATATGGGGGATAAGGAGGGAAGTCCCTCATGGGAAGGCAAGGGTCTGTGGTCAGGAGAAGAATCCTGAAGCGGGACAGAAAGGAGAACAGAGCAGGGCAAGAGCAGCAGTTTCAAGGAAGACTTCAAAGAGTAAACAGGCCTCACCTGCGCAAGAAACTTGTACCGTTTGTACTAGGCTGGTGTAGTTAAAGCAGTAATTTGTCCCTAGAGCGAACACTGCTGTGTTTGCAAAGAGACACTCAGGAAGGTCAAACCATTCAACATGGTTGAATGCTATTTACTGAGTTGGACTGTAGGTCCATCTTGCCCAGCACCCTGTCATGCAGTGGCAGAGTGGATACTGAAAGGAAGAGTGTATGACCAGAGTTTTATCCAGCGGCCTCACCTGCAGCCTCCAGCAGAGGTTTTCAACTTTTTATTTGCTGACCCCTTTGGAAATTTTGAAGAGGTGCAGATCCCTTTGAATTGTATTCAGACTTTTGATTATCATCATCTTTTGCGGTCCCCTTAGACGTAGTTTGCGGACCACGGGTTAAAAACCACTGGTCTAGGAAGTTGATTCAGAGGCTTTAATCCCAAACGCCCATGCTCAATAGCTACCGATGCACCTTTCCTCCAAGAAATTATCCCATCTCCTTTTTGAATCTGGCTAAACTGTCAGGTTCCACAACATCTAATAGCAACGAGCCCCACAGCTATGAGTATGAAATTCCTGTACTATTTAAAAATGCATTAAAACTCCTGGTATAGGCTCTTCCACCCAAGACGTCAGTGCACTTCAATTTGGCACCTCTGGTTCAACAGCCTGAGCGCCCCTCATGCAATAGCTAGCCCCATGCAAGGGCAGAGCAGCGCTACTGTTGTATGGCAGAGGTGAAACAGCATTGTACCAATACCATTATCTTGGTTTAAAATGACAGAGGGAGCACAGACTGAGCCCTCAAGGGAGAGACAAGAGGAAAGCAGGTGGATTCTGAGGGCTTAGAGGCAGGAGGTGGGTCGAGTAAGTGAAAAGGGTTGAGAGGGGAAGACAAAAGCAAGGGGGTGGTGTTGCTTTCCTGTAGCACAGGTGCTTGCATGCTGGACTGGGCCAACAGTGAGGCCCACTGGCTGGGCGGGGAAAGCCTGAACCACTCTTGCCTGGGCTATGGTTAGCTGCTTTGTAGGGCATGTAATGCTCTGGGGGGGGCTGCACAGCTGCCTCTCGCCAAGGCCTAGCTGCCTAGCAGCAGTTGTCCAGAAGTGTCTTCTCAGGCAGGCTTGGGCTGGCTCCAAGGCCGGCAGCTCCCTTCCGGGAGGTGACGCAGTGCCCCGGTTTGTCCCTTCTCTGCAGATTCCTTCTTGCCCGGCCTGCAGGCTCCTCTCAACAGCAGACAGCCAGACGCGGAGCGGACAGGACCACTCTGGCTTCCAAGCGTTTTAAAGTACTGAAAACAAGTTCACCACCACCACAAATGCACAGACCGCTTAGACTCCCTGACTTTGCTCCTGGACTCCAAACAGAACCAGACGCTCTGGAGACAGAGGAAGAAAAAGCACAGAAGCCGTTGTATTGACGCCAACTTCAGTACAAGGCCCGCAGCCTCACGAGGTGCTTGGTTTGGAAGGAGTGCGTGCAGGGCATGATACACTGGAGAGGAGGCCCAGCAGCTCCAGGCCCTGGGGCTGGTGTCATAGGATGCTCCGGCATGGACGAGAAACACCTTGAAGGAGTGGCTTGGCCCTAATGACTTTCTCCCAACACACACATATGTTGTGGCTAGGTGCACAGCAACCTGGAGCAGTTCTCCGGTTGTGGCAGAGACAGTTGCCCTCTCAGCTGGCACCCTATCCCTTAATTTTGAACTTACTTTATTCAGTATTTATTACGCTGCACAAGATGGTAGGGTTTGGGGAAGGTGAAAAACAAAGCAGGTAAGAACCAGCCAACAAGCATCTCTGCTCTCTTCCCAGCCGCTCCCCACCCCCTTCCCCTTCTCCATCCCCATCAGCTCCAGGGCTCGGAGGGCAGTCTGACAGCTCTGACATACCTCTGTGTACTTGTATGGATTTATGTTTACAGAACATGCTCCTGTACCCCTGCCCCCTCGCGCGGTACTCACTGGAGGTGGGTCCCGGTTGGACCTTTGCAGCCAAATCCCTTAAAGCTCCATGCAAGTTTAGAGCTTGGCTCTGAATCTTCTAGCTCGGGCCTCTCTCTAGTGCTAACCCGACTGGCAAAGCTTTAGGTATTGGGCTCTCTGAAGTGTGCACCTACCTCAAGACAGGTTACTTTAACAATCCCCCAGCTGGTCCACCACAGTACTGGAGAGGACCACTCCGGTATTTCACCAAATGCTGCTGCTGCAGTCTCCATACTGGAAATGAGGTCAATTGTAGGAGGTAAATAACAAATCTCTCAGTAATGAGCTAACTTCCATCTCTCGATCCCTCAACTTTTGTAGTGTTTTTAAATACTCAGCCCAATACAGGGCCTCCGACTGAGGAAAACCAGTGGTGCAATAAAGTAACACTGAAAGACTGCTGGGGCAACCCAAGAATGAATTGCAGTTGCTCCTAATCCAGTGTCCTAATCAGGTAGGCCACAAGCTGCAGCTCTCCCTGTGCTGCTGGCTCCAGGGGATGGAGGGAATGGAGAGGGAAAATAGAAGAGAAAAAATCCCAAGCCACTTGAAGCCTCTGCAGCTACCACAAAGTGAGGGTCCTTCTGACAGAGGAAGTGGGGGGTCAGCTGCTCTGTCAAAGACGAGAGGGAGCAGCAGCCTGGGCCCTTGCACCTTAGGATCCTGGGAAAGCTGGGCTGGATGGGACCTCATGAGGTCAGCTGCTCAAGGCAGGCTCATCACTTAGGTCAGGGATGGCCAACCAGCAGCATATGCGTCACAAGTAGCATGGGCAGTTTGCATGTGTGGCAGGAGAGGAGAGGACTGGCACATGGGGCAGGGAGTAGAAAGCAGAGCAGGCAGGGGAAGGGGCACTTGGAGAGGGTGCAGGGCTAATCTGTGGCATGCCTGACCAAAACCCATTGGCTTAGGTGATGCTGGATGAGAAGCAAAAGGAAGAGTTTACCAAATTTCCCCATCTCCAGCTACTTTTCCAACCTCTTCCCAGGCCTGATGTTTGTCTGGCCAGGTGTGGAGCATTACTGTCCCAATTCTTCTGAAAAAAGTCTGAAGCACAAATTTACCTGTGTTAAGGGATAAATATAATCCTGTAAAGAGACTCAGTTATTTTTTTAACCCATAACATCTTATATAATACTACACAGACTATTTCTTTCAGAGTATTAGCTTCACATCCCTCTTTGGACTAATGACATTGTGTATTTCCTAATATTTAAAACAAAAAAAGAAAATTTTTTTGAAGTTTTATTCCCTCCCCCCACATTAGAAAATAGTTCTGTTCTTTAGCACCCAATCATGGAAGACTTGCTACAGCTTCTATGAAAATGCCCCTTTGGCCAGAGTCCAAACTGGTTAGCAAGAATTTGATGGCACTGGTCTCCCTTTGCATTTTGGGAAAAGCCCTTCATAGACTCTGTTAAACAGCAGCTTTCTGTTCAACCAGTTATTATCCAAGCCTCCCAGTGGCATTGCACAGTCTGCATATCTTAGAGGGGAAATAGAAGGCATTTTCCAAGGGGGTACAAAGTTTTCATTCTATTCAAGTGGTTTCCAACCAATGTCCTCTTCTCACTGCATGTCTGTTTACTTACAATAATGATAAACCCTGTTGGATTGCAGCCTTCCATCCTCTGAAAGGAATAATTCCCCAAGAAACATGCAGGACCTCATCCTAAACAAAACCCTGTGAAAATGCTCCACTCTCCTCGGAAAGTTGGCCACAGGAGCCCAGCCCTTTCTAGCTGGTCTGGTAGTTACCGTGGGTTTGGCGCTGCTGAGGGCAGAGGTACAAATGCTGTGGCAAGACAGGCTCTGATGGGGATGGGGTGCATTACAGCTGCACTGTCTGTCCTCAGTTTTAACTAAATTGTATTTAAATTTGTTAAATAAACTTAAGTATGGTTTTTAACAGCCAGAATTCCCTGGACACGCACTGCATGGCTGTTTGGGGTGCAGTGAAACTTTGCTTCCACAGCTAAATGCGGCTCAGTTACTCCCATAAGGACTAACCTGACTCCTCTTGGCTACTCAAGGTCAGATGGTGGCTTGGTTTCAGGAGAGAAGATGCCAAAATCTTGGATACACCTGATTCCCACTGGCAGCAGGGAGCTACAGAGCAAGGCTGAGGTCATTTAAACCAAAACAGAAAGGGAATAAGAAGCCAAGCAAGTTTCCAGAGGTTTGGCCCATTTTTGTCTGTTGACCTTGGACACTGGTGAGTGAAAAGGCAGAGGAGGGAGGGGGTAGATAAGCCAGCCCACGGTGCGGGTCTTCTGCAGGATCCCTTGGTCATGGCTAAGCAAGGTCCAAAACCCCTACTGTACACTTCCAAGAGCTTTAACTTCAGATTAAGTGGCAGCTGTGGGAGCTTCCCTGCCTGCACTGTGCAGTGACCCCTCTCCCTACTCTCCAACTTCTCTCCCTGCTCACGCAGTGTTCCCATTAGGGTCTAGGGAGAGCCGTGAGTAGCTGGACTCTGTGCCCTAAAGGACAGACCATGCCTATAGCCTCCCCTGGGCTGGATTTATGCAAGATTGAGGTGTGGGGGAGGAGCTGTTTCTCAGCAAGGGGACTGACCCTTGTGAACCTGCCTTTGGTAGCTTTGTGTCGTGCTGTGTCAGAGCTCGTTCAATCCGGCGGTCCCGCTGAGTACAGGTGGACAGAGACGTGCACACAGGTAACTTGTTACAAATTTTTTTTTCCCCCCCAAAAGAGAGAGACAACCTCAATATTAAAAATTAATGGAAAAAGCTAAAAGTTAACTCAGTTACATTCAACCTGCTTCCAACAACTGAACCAATAAAACCCTCTCTACACACGACGGTGGGGTCAGTTCTGCTTGAGAGCTCACCCAGCTAGTGTTTTCCATATCTGGTTATTCTTTAGTATTTATCACCAATTTTTCTTCCCTTTCTAATCACAAAAAAGGAGGTGCCCCAGTGTAACACACAAAGGCTCAGAACAGCTGGGCTCATCCTGCACACAGGCGGGACCCACCCGCCCACTCTCCTCGACGGGATTGTCCATAACACCACAGACAGGGATCCCAGCCAGGGGCCGTCTGGCATATTGAACTCTTCACAGTGTAGCTACAGGAGCTTCCGCCTCTCTGACGGATTCGACTCCCTGGGCGTGCAATCTGCCTCCCAACCTCGTTGCCAAAGAGCAAATCCTTTCCGTGGGTCTAGGGAAAATGAACAAGCCCAACTGTGTCTGAGCTGTCACATCCTGGATATAAAAAACTGGGAACGTCCACAAAAAAAGAACAGAAGGGAGCCCTCCTGCTCAGTCCACGTACTGGGTCCTTCCAAGGAAAGGCGTGTCTACAGACTGCACAATGCGGCCCGCTGTGTGCTCTTCAAACACGACAATCTGGGAAAGAGAAATGGTGGGGAACAGTCCCTTTACAACAAAGATCACTTTTCCTTCTGTGAAGGAACCACTTCTTTTAAAGGATAAAATGTGCACCCAGGGGCATTTGAATGGCAGGAAAGGAAAGGTGGGATGTGGGAAAGTGGGAAAAGTAGATGCTTGTAGCAGAGGGAGTGGTCCATCTATTAGTCCACTCAGAACCGAGTCTGTAGTCACTCGGTGTAGTTACTCTACTCATCTGAAGTCCCTTCGGACAGCAGCTTTAGGTCACTGAAGTGGAGAGTAGGCATGGGACACAAAGGTTCAATCAGCTGGGTCTTGCTTGTCAAGTTACTGTGGTTTGAATTTTAGGGGGGATGCTGGTTCAAATCCAACATTCATTATAGCTGCTTTCTCATAGCAAAAGCGAGGAAAGGCACTATCCCATTAATACCTCACCCCTGGGAGCTGCAACCCCAGATCACTGCTGTGTGCATGCAGGCTGAGGTAGGTGTTCAACCACAGTGTGTTCCTGGCTGTTCTTTAGATAGACATGACCCGGAGAAGGGCCTTCAACAGAACTCCCCTCACCTCATTGTTCCCTGGCCATAGCCATGTCGCGGGAAGGTACAGCGTTTCCTGAGGTCCAATTTTCCAGTAGCGTCCCAGGTTCCGCCCGTTGACAAACACGACCCCTTTTTCCCAGCCCTGTAGGGAGAACGCAGTCAAGTTACTGCTGCAACTGCCCTGGTGAGCCAAAATGCCTTTCTGATGTACTCACGGTCTTTAATGCCCTACCCCACGGCTCCATAGCTCTGCTGCTCGAAGCAAAATGAGTCACACTTTAAGCACCCTGTTCTGCCCCACCCAGCCCCACTCCCAAAGAGACACTGTCTCAGCCCAGGATGGTTTCCCAAACCCGCTCTGAGTTCCACATGCTGAGCACAGACACAGAAACTGCACCGTCTCTGCCCCAGCAGGTTCACCTTCAGCATACTTTCCTTCGAGCCCGTGCTTTTTTTTTTTTTCTGCACAGGTTTTTATGCTGCCCTCATCACTATAGGATTTGAGCACTTCCTGGCACAGCGTTAAGTGTTAACACCTACTGCCGTCACGAGTGACCTGGTCACTCATCCTCTCTCCAGGGGCTTTGTGCTTCCCAGGAAACAGAGGTAAGGCAGAGCAAGCCGGGTTCTTTCGTGGTCAGCAGAGGGACAAAAAAACCCAACAGTGTGTGGGTGCAGTGACAAAACAGGCTTTACCCTGTGCAATGCCAGGAGACAAAGGAGACTAGAGATGTAGTGAGCTGGTGGAGGCTGCCACCTAATTCCAGGGGAAGTTTGGGCAACTCCAGAGGCAAGGTAATAACCCCACCTCAGTCTCCTGCTGGGGAGGACATCTCTGTGAGGTCTATAGAAGTTCAGGAGGACAAAGCTTTGAAGTAAAGATTTCAGAAGTGCCCATGCAACTTTTTTAGTCTTATTTTCAAAAGTAACTTGACAGTTGAAGTGGATCAGGGCCATTGTGGAAACTTGACCTTCTGTTGTTAGAATAGGCCGGATCCCACCAAAAGTAGTTTTTCCCACGGAAAATGATCCCTGGGAGTCTCTGTGGAGCCTTCCCCACCCACCTCAGGCCAAGCAAGTTGACCACCACAGAATCACTGTACTTACTAAGATCACAGCAAAGTGGGAAAGAAAAGTAAATGGTGCTGGCTAGTAACTATTAAAGTGACCCTCAGGGGCTGCTCCATGTGAGTGAAAGAAGAGGGCAAGTAAAAGATTTCAATACACTTTACTGCAGCCGTAGCTTGGTATAACCACCTTCAGCAGAGGCAGGTTGTATACATTGGATTATCACTTGCCATTGATGATATGGACAAATAGAGGCATGAAGCAGCTATTAGCCCACATCACAGTGAGGCGGACAGGAATAAATGCCAGCCAACCCCAGGCTTTGTCTCACAGACACTACCCCCTGCCAGTGGATGAGAAGCAGCACCTAGTTATATTAACACCAGTCCTGCTCATCATTAGCTCTTCCTGGAGGCTACTGTGGTCACAGTCAAGCTCGTGTGTCAGGGCCCGTGATAGTGAAGGCTGCTTTTTGAATGAACAGTCCTACCCTGGCCTGCTCTGTCAAAGACCAGGTGAAGCCTTCTGATCATGCCAGGCTCTCCTTTACCAGCCATACAAGGACACACAGCAACTCACCTCAAGCTTCAAGAAAGTGTCCTGAGGCAGCTGCTGCACAGTCAGTCTCCCTCGGAAGAACGCGGGCCCCGCACTGTAATCCGGGATCGCGCTCCAGCCAGCAGCACTTCGCAGGCTGCGAGAAAGACAGAACATAGCTAAGGTCTGCTGCTAGGCAGAGGTCACAGCAGTTGCACCAGCCCAGCCATAATGTACATGGAGCTCACCTCCACCAAATCCATTGTACCAGTAGCCACGATGTTCACACTGAGCCTCAGGCCCCTCATACTACTCACTTGTGCACAGGCATCACAGGACTGGCTTTGCTGTCTCCACCGCTGCAGTCCAGCATGGTCCTAACATGCGCAGAATGAAACCCCCAGAGCCAGAGCCAGGCACAGTTTCAGTTTACTCACAGGAGCGTTCCTTCCCTTCATACCCTACAGGGTCCAGAAGAACCTTCCTGCATGGGCTGGGCCAACCTGCCAGTGTTTAAGTTTCTCTCTCTAGAACTAAGGCTCCAACAGGCAGAGCACACGTGCACATACTGAACTCGGCGTGCTATGGACTTTGCTCCATTCTAGCCAACACGAGCTGCAGGGTTCAATGCAAGCTAACACGTCCTTCCGGGCACGCATCGCCAGCTGAGGTTTCAAAACAAAGGTTTTACAGCTGTACAGTTTTTGATTCTCATGACTCAGTAAAATCAAAAAGGCACATGTCCTTGGGAGCAGAAAGGGCACTGCTGTCTTTAGAGAGGGCTATCTCCCGGCAAAATGTCACCTTTCTACTCACAGCTGTTTCACTGCTACAAAAGGAAATTTCCTTCTGCAAAAGGAAATAAAAAGCAGGCACCAGAATTAGAGCTTTTCTGCCTGATGTGTCCAGACCTGCAAAGTCATTTCCAGCTGTCCCTCAAGCTTCAGCCTAGGCTGCATATCTTGGGGACACAGATGGAAGCAAAGCAAGGAAATCTTTCTGCTAAAAAGACAGTGAGTTTCGGAGGGTGGGGGGACGACACTTATGTGCAGCTAAAACCAGGGACTTAGTATGTAGAAAGACATATAACCTTAACTGAAGGGGGTGCTGCCA